TATCTTATTAAATTCATCTAACACTATATCCGTGAGGTTCATAATATGGCCACATGTTCGTTTCATTGTGTATCTGCAGATGTTTTCATGGTTCATTGAGTGAAGTTTCTATTTCTTTTTTAAATGTGAGTTAAAGCCCTGATCCAAAGAAAGACCCGAAAGAAAAATGACAAAACAAACAAAGATATTAAGTTACAATTGTATTTTATTTATTGAGTAAATATTAATAGCATGACCACTGAATGATAAAGCACACATATAGTCTTGTATGAAGCACACAAAGCAGAGCAGATGCAGATGCGAGCGACTGAAGCTGGATGTGGAGAATGAAGGAGTCGCTCATGTGCTGTTAGTCTCCATGTGAGACATGAGTGAGAAGAGCAGCAGATCTACTCTGAACACTGCTGTCTCGTCACGTGTCCAGTGAGCGCAGGCTGGCCGCTCCGTGTGGCCTCACAGCTCACTGAGACGCTCTCCATCCACTCCTGCTCAGAGAGAGTCAGGCTGCTGCTCCAGCTGTACAGACCGTCCTTCTCCAGGAGCCCAGCGCTGCTCTCCTGAGACCTGCTGCTCCCGTCCACCTTCCAGCTCAGGCTCCAGTCTGACGGGAAGCCCTTGCTGGCCACACACACCAGTGTCGCTGTCTTCTTTGAGGAGATCTCTGCACTGGAGGGCGGCAGGACGCTCACTTTAGGACGAGTGGCGCCTGACAAACACACAACAGTCAACTCAGTGAAGAAGAAAGCATTTCTCTCCTTTCAGCTTCAGAACAAATATATGAACAATTAATACAGTGATAGTCATTTTAGCAACATTAAACTTCAAGTCACCAGAATTAACTTTTACAAAGCCTGTGATCAGCAAAGCAACGAATATTTGGTGAAATATATTGATATATTGAAGAGTCATTTTCATTATCAAATTTAATGTTACTTTGATTAAAAGCATGAAAGATCAGATGTAAATAAATAGACCTGCAGGAATTCATTATAATTTTTGATGACAGCATGAGAAAATCGCGTACAAAACATGGATGAAATAAAAAATGCCATGACAATCAAAACCATTTTTACAATGTTGACTGCCAAACATTCAATGTGAACTAAAAATAAAAAATAGATATATACGTAAATATAAAAATAGATAAACAAGCATGCATCATTTCTATAGAGCAACAAAGTGTTTAACAGTCAGTTGTTGTATTAATAATATTAAATGATGATTTACTTACTGCCAACATCCAGTTTGGTGCCGCTGCCGAAAGTGACCCACAGTGATAGAAACTAATAGAGCAGCTGAACAAAAACCTCCTGAACGCTTCACTAACTGCACAAACACACATCAACTGAGTCTCCAACAAACACATCCACTCACAGCAGACATTACTTTACTTTGCTTTATATGCTTAGATTACTAAAGCATGAAACTGAAATTATAAAGAGTTAACTTGTATATATATAGTGTGACGCGACTCACAATCAAACAGAGACACGTGTGTGTGATGATCCTCGTGTCTGTTAAAAACCTGCAGGAAAATCCATGGATTTGGCATAAAATTTGGGTTTAACAGTGATGTGTCAATCCAACTAGAGTAAAACAATATTCTCAAAGTCTCACGGGAAAGAGTCAGGTTAATATACTAAAGTTGGTCTTGAAGATGTTTTCAGAATTAAATTGAATGATACAGTTTTTAATAGTTTGGCTAAACAGAAGATTGACAGATTTTTTACTAGATGTTCTCACGTCAGGAATGGTTTTTTATTACAGGCCTATGACTGAGACTGAGCGACTGTCTTCAGGTAAATGATGTGGAGTGTGTTTGCATATTGATCAGATGCTTCAGTGCTCTGAGAGTGTTTATAGTGCTGTGAGTTTAACACTTCATCACTGACACACACAACAATCTTCATCAACATGACCTTCATCATCATCTTCATCTGGACACTTTCATACTGCTTTATACTACAAGGTGAATAGTGTATATTTGAAATAATATTAATTAAATAATTTTATTATATGTCAAATAATATATTTTTATAGACTAATAAATGTTTGTTTTTCAGGGTGTAAAGCTCAGATCACAGTCACTCAGACTCCTTCAGTGAAAACTGTCACACCACGAGAAAATGTAGAGATGAGCTGTAAACTCAGTACTCCTGCTACAGCCTGCAGCCCAGCATGTGTGTTCTGGTACTTACAGAAACCTGGAGAAGCTCCTAAACTCCTGATTCGTTATGTAAACACCCTTGAGTCAGGAACTCCATCTAGATTCAGTGGCAGTGGATCTGGGACTGATTTCACTCTGACCATCAGTGGGGTCCAGACTGAAGATGCTGGACATTATTACTGTCAGAGTGCTCACTATATCAGTAGTAGCTGGATGTTCACACAGTGATAAAGAGTGGTACAAAAACCTCTGTCAGTCAGAGTCACAGTGATGAACTGATGCTGCAGCTGCTCAAACACTATCACACACTACTGACACACAGAGACCAAACACAAAACTACACATGAGCTCCAAACTCAGGAGTGAAATCAGCTCTATTACTGTGATCTGTCCTGTGACAGACGGGTTTGACTCAACTATGCTCAGAATCAGAGAAAACAGAGTGTGTAAATTGACTAAATCAAACAATAATGGCCTAATATGCTGTTTTGATTTTGTACAATACACTCACCTTATTATACAGTCATACAGTAAAGTCATTGTGTTGCAGCAGCAACATAAAGATGTTCTTGAGCAGTTTCTCAAGTAGCTCCTTCATCTCAAGTTAATAAAGACGTTGAACTCATTTTCAATTCAAGTTTATTTGTACAGCGCTTTTCACGATACAAATCGTTGCAAAGCAGCTTTACAGAAAATTAAAGTTTCTACAATATATTTCTAATAACTACTGACTCTATGTATTGATCACATTTTATTAAAAAATCTACATTTGGGATTTCTAAATGATCAAAGCATTTTAATGATTAATGTAATTTTAATAAGTTTTAATGGCCTGTACCTCTGGAATGACCTTTGCCTCCTCATGGAGATCAGTGACATAACTGTTTCTCTTAAGCCGAGAACACACTACAGACTGTCATGCCGATTGTGAATGTATTTTAGTCTTGACGACGGATCGAGCTTATAGTCGGACTGGGTCTGTTCCAGTTGGGCTCAGTCACTGTCGGCAGAAAAAGTTGCATAGTCTGTGGTGACTAAAGATTATAATCTTAGAATTCAAGAACCAGTCGCTGCCAGTCGTTTTCACAAAGATTTTTTAAAACGTTTAATATTTGCGACAGACGCCAGCGATTGTAGGCTATATGCAGCTATAGTGGAGATATGATCACTGTCACACATCATTTATAGGCTATTCATTTTGTAATTTTGTCAAATATTGCTTTCTTGATTACAAAAAAAACCTCAGCTTGTTGTGATTTGTTTCTTGTCTTTCTTTTAATTCATAAATTAACATGGCAAATTAAATGGTTTTAGACTATTCGTTTTTTTCTGGAGTCAAATAGCCTAAATTATGTCAGTGATTTCTCTCATTTTAAAGATTACCGATAATTATTTTATTTCGATCTGCAGTCTAATAAAAGTTAGGCTATCTATAGACTACAGACTAATAGACTACAGACTAATTCAATTGTTTCTTAACTTTTAACTTCTTAAAATTTGTTATAAAGAAAATTTAAATCAACTTCATAACAAATACTCTTCATAACACATTTTATTCATACGAATATATGAACAAAACGAATAACTATTCTTCATAATGATTTTTTTTAACAATTTCATGAATCAAAAATGTGACGAA